GTATGTGGGAGGCTTATGAAAGATGGGAGAATCCTGCTGGAAAAATAGGGATCATTATTGACTTCCCCAATTCTGCCAAGTGTGATGCATGTGTTTAAACTATTTCTAGGAATTTCCACTATACACAGCCATGTGGAGAGATATCCCAAAGCAAGACACGAAAGGGATAAAAAAGCAGACCATCCTCCTATGATCGATCAGCTCTCTTCCAAGAACCAAAGGACACATGGGGATTATTTGGCAAGCCTCATTTTAAAGAGAATCCACATGTTTCAGCTCTGCCTGCTGTGCACTGAATAAAGTGGTAGTTGGTATTCTGAAATCTATCCCAGCACCTTGGGATGGCAGCCACCTGCCAAGTAAATTCAAGAGGCAACAGCTGCCTTGGAGCAACAGTGTGGCTGCCATCTCCCCAGACCAAAAGCAAAGCTGGAAGCCACCATGCTTCTGTTTCAGTGAGCAAAAGGGTCCAAATCAAAGGAGGGCTGTCCAGAGTCACAAAACGTTTGCCAGCTGAGAAGCTGCGTCGTTAATCTTAGAACTTCCTTTCTAACCCATCAAAATCTTGGGGGTGGGGGGGTTGCCTCCATGGAACCAAGCAAATTGCCAGGCAAAATTTGAATTAGGCACAGAGCAAGGGAGAACTCAGATGCTTTATTTTGCTCCTAGGCAAACATATGCCTATTTAAAACTTAGTTTCTTCTGTGAATTTGTTCTAAAGGATGTTGTGAATTCGATTGCTTTTCAAAGGAGAATGATCTCCCGCTCTTGCTCCATGCCAGGGTTTTGCCACATTTCAGATAAGGAAAGCATTGCGTTTGCAGACTAACAGCTCTTCAGTGTGAAGGTCATTAGGATAAAGAGTTTCACAGGCAGCGCTTTGCTGCATGAGCAATGAGACACTCACTTCTGGGCTGCAAACTTACACTCAGGCTACCCAGGTAAGAACTCCATCTCAGCCCAAGTCCCAAAGGGGACCTGTGTCCCTTCACCCAGAACACTTCCCAACCCCAGGGCAAATTTTGAGAACAGGTTTCTATTCAGTGAATTACTTCCCTTCTCTTTGGTACTTGGGGTGAGCTCTAGGAGGTTCATAAATTTTACCTCTGCTGATGGGCTACTTAATTCTCCAGCCACTGTGTGAGAAGCTCAAGATTTATGGGAAAGAAACTCCACCAGATGCTTTTCTGCAGAATGGTCAGCGCCTTTGTTTAAATCATTGCAGGTTTAGAGAATGAGGGTGGGAAGAGTATGAATAAAACCTCAAAATTCTTTCCTCAAAAAGACATCCTTACGGAAACATTATGTGATCTTCAGGATTCCAAAGCGTCACAGTAGGTTATGGGGTAGGATGCCAGTCTGGGGAGCATTTGGGGGGTCTGGGCTTGCCTGTGCAATGTCTTTGAGTTTCCTTCCATCTATAGGATTCAGTTATATCATTGAGGAACCCCTTGGATCTGGTGCTTTGCATCTTATACTAACCTTAGCCGTGGGAAATTTGGAAAAAAAAAAGAAGGAAAGGAAGCTGACTGTGAGCTCTGGGAGATTCTGCAACCAGCTGCAAAGCCTGAAATTTGATTTTGTCCTTTTTCCAGCTTAATTGCAGTGATGCGCGAGTTGAGCCCACCTGCCTTTGCATAAACACACGAGAAGATAAACAACAAGTACAGGAGGAAAGAATCTGACCCAAGAGTCCTCTCTGGGCACAGACTCTAAAAGGAGAAGGGGCTCAACAGCTCCCAAACCTCTGACTTGCTGGGAAGATGGCCCCTGCTGCCTTGTAACTGAAATGGATTGACTCTTTTTGTCAAGTTGGCAGGATTGCTGTAGCTTTGCGGCAGCCTGCTCTTGGAGTTTCTGTGAGAACAGCAGAGAGCTAGGAGCAACAAAGAAGCTGCTATGTTTGATTAATGCACAAGATACTGCACCATGGTTCTGCCAGAGCCTCATTTCAAGAGTCAGCATTGTATATTTGCAGGGAGCAGATATTCAATGCAGCCATCCTCTTTGTAACTTGTCATACAAAAGAATCAACACATTCCATGACTGTTAGGAAGGCTGTGAGTGAAGATAATTGCTCTCCTTTGCACCTGCCTCAGACCCTGCCATCACTGTGTAGCAGGAAGGTCTAAATATTGTGATTTACTTGCATGGCAGTTTGTCTTTTTAAAATGATTCCCTCTTCTACTTACTTGAAGGCTTGGAAATTTCAACAGTGGCTAAGGAGCAGTGAAAGCATTTAAGCACATGACCATCATTCCACTGAAATCCTACCATTCATGGTGGGAACTAATGCTATGGAAAATTCCTCACGAAGAGGTTTAGTTTAATGTAGCTACACTGAGACAATGATTTTTATTCCTATAGAAGATTTTTTGAATGAAGGAGGGGATTTAGGCAGGATGCTGAGCTACACAGTATCCAGAGGAAGGACGGTAGAATTGTCCTCCCTCTTAGTAGAATGATAAGGAAGTCTGGAGGAAGATCAGAATGGACCAAAGGGACCACATTCTTTTATTTAAGGGTAATAGAAAGTGCATGAAAGTTGAATTTATCTAGGTTTAAGGATTGCAGAGTGAGTGTGCCCACAAGACAAATGGATAATGAATTCTAGGTAACTAAGTTTGTAATAAAAATAACTGAACACAGGAATTAGGGAATTGGAGACAATCAGGTCTGATTCCATGTCCATCAATCATCTTAGGGCCATGAGGTTTTGCTTTTTCCTTTGCTGATGGAATTCAGAGACCCTTTCAAGCACTATTGACAGTATATAAAATTCTAACTCTGATGTCCAACTTATGTTCACAATACACACAAGATATTTGTTCAAGGTATGCAAAAGGTCTGGAGTTCTCTTCCCAATCCATACTTTCTAAATGGGAGATCAAGGGCTCTCTTTAGAGACTGCTCAGGTATTTAATTCCTGTACTTGTGATGTTGGCTTATATTCCTAAAATACACAGATACTCCGGGAATGTTTTTTTTTTTCTCTGTCTTTTTTTTTTTTACATTAGGCTTCAAGGAGCTCTCAGTCTAAACATGATGGCTAAAAAATAAATCTCAACAGTATCCATTCTAGTGTCTATGAAAACTGCCAACCTACCAAACTAGTAACCATGCAAACTACTATGTCTAACAGGAAAAGAGATCTTTTAGGTTAAACAATGAGAATGTGACACATGCTTCAGGATCGATTTGGGGACTTCCCTATTACCGCCTGTTACTCCGTATGGATAATACACCTCGGTCCAAGGTCCCTGCTAGCTTCTGGGGTCCCAGCCTGCTAAGTACAAGCCAACTCTTTTTTTTTTTTAATTTTATTTATTTGTTTATTTACAAGCCAACTCTTGTAGAAGGCAGTGCCTGGCATTTGATTAACTCTAGAGTGTGTTTGTGAGAATTGGCCTCTTTGGCTTCTACAAGATGTAGAACTTCCTATTTATATGTCTGCTGTGCTTTGTTCTTTGATTGGCTTATAGATATGCTTTCATGGAGGTGTCTCCCCTGGCTAGTGGTGGAGGTAAAGCTGGCAAAACTCCAGCAGTTGAAATGACATTGCACAGAAGCACACAAGATAATGTCATATAGCAAATGCATAGGAGGCAAATGTTACATACCAAACACACTCTAGGCAGTCATATTGAGGGCACCTGACCCCTCCTCTGGGATTAGGAACAAGCTAGTTTATTTGATAGAAGGAGTATAGCCTGTTCATACAGTCTACATGTCATGTGCACATGTGTGTATATGTGTGCAAGTGTGTGTGTGTACTTGTTTAACATAGATTATTATAAGTAGACTTTTCTTATGGACACAACTGGACAGATCAGGGAGATACAAAAAGCTCGGGATAAACACGGATTTTGAATTTGATCTTTGAAGATAAGCAGAAATTTTCTAGTGGAGAAGTGAGGAGAGGATAGAAGAAAAAGGTAAAAAGAAAGGAGAAAAAGAAACAAATTGTAGGTGCCACAAAATACAAAGCATGCTGGAGACCCATATAGTTAACCAACCTGCCCAGACTGGAGTAGTTAGTGAGGAGCCTGGGGTCTGACAGCTGGATTGTGGGCAGGCTACAAGGTTACCCATGGGGAGAAAGCGTTCTGAACCAAGAAATGATGCTCGAATGAGAAGGCTGATCAGTGATGACCCTGTGCCATGAGCTAAGGATTGTAATTCGTTGAACCCTTCACTTATGGTCAACATATTTTTGTTTTTCCATTCCCAGAACCAGTTAAAAGAAAAATGTTAAACTAGTCCATCCTGTGGCATAAATTGCTGATAAAGTTTCCATGCATTCTACCTTGAGCTAACAGAGTTTACTTTTGTTGCATGTCAAAGGAAGTTAACTTGCAGGATTCCCTTAGCATCTTAACTCCAAGGGGTGAGCAAATGTGGGGAAATAAAATGTTACGCAAGACCACGGAGGGTGATGTGCTGAGATTTAGAGCTCTATGGACAGAGGTCAAGTTGGCATCATAAAATATTTCCATTTCATTTTGTTTGCTAAATAGCCATTTGCTCATGTTGCAAAATTGGTTTGTATTCAATGTGAATGATTTGTAAAGTACAACAAAAACAAAATAATATTAATCCCTAACCCCACCATTCAACAGTGACTATTCTTTGAGTCTTTTGTCTAGTTCGGAATTTCAAAAAAATGAATTATATGAATTTGGTGTCCTGTGGAATTTAAGTGTTATGGGATAAGAGGTACTATAGAAAAGAAATTAAGTGGATAAATAAGTTTATGCTAGGTTAAAAAAATAGATCTTAAATATGTTAATATATTTTGTAATTTCCCAAATTTAAATTAAATATTTAGGGGAAAATATATGTATGTATATGTGTGTGTGTGTGTGTGTGTGTGTGTGTGTGTGTATTTTTCCCCAGACCTATTTGATCATATAAGACTGAACCAGTGTTCCACAGAGGCAGGGCTAGGGTAGATGGGAGATGGGAAATGACGCTGTGATTCTTTTTTTATTGTTGTGTAGATGCGTGCATGCGTGTGTGTGCATACTGTCATTTTAACCTGCCAATCAGCGAGGGAAAAAATGGTTCTGTATGTAAGCGGATCCTTCTCAAATGCATGGTGAGATTTGTCCCCATTAATCAGCAATGTTTTTATTTTAGAGAAACCTGCATATTGCCTTGATTCTTTTTCATACCCCCTTCTGACTGCCCCTAATATGAACTCAAGAGGGTAGAGGATGTCAGGATGTCAGGACAGTTGTCCCAGGATTGCACAGGTTTCAGGTACAAGTCATAGAATAAAATCTGAGAACTCCTAGCTATAGGCAATGATTCCATTTCATAGGTAAAGTATATACTATGGAAATAGAAACTTAAAACATTAGTAAAATTAAGGTGAGAAGCAAGGATGGTATTAAGTAAGATTTAAAAAAAAAAAAACTTCTCTTTAGTCAAACAAATCATTACTTGTATTTTCCTATTCCCCTTGTAAAGTAGATACAGAAACATTCAAAGCAAAGGAAAAGAAAGACGAAAGAAAGAAAAAGAAAGAACGAAAGAAGGGGGAGGAAGAAGGAAAGGAGGGGAGGGAGGGAGGGAGGAAGGGAGAGAAAGAAAGAAAATGTGCTACTGCCCGGTGAACTTGAGAACACAGAAGAGAATTCTTGCTGAAGTATACAGTGAACAGGCTTGGCTACCCTATGAACTCCAGTGAATGCTGCAAACTAAATAGCCCTTTCCACACTCCTCAAGATTCCTCTTGCTTCAAGTTCTGCATCCGCCTGAACAGGGTGTTCTGGAAACAAGCCTGCTCCTGCTGCTGTTGTTCTTGCATCTGGATTTAATTCTTTATTTGCAGCAAGAACAAACAGACCACTTAATCTCCATCCCCTCAGTATCATAATTTGCGTTTTGTGGAATGGATTGAGTGTCGCCAATTCCATCCTCCTTTTCCTGTTTCTCATCTGCAGGTGCTGAGAGTCACATGGAGGCACTTCCCGCCCTCGCTCCTCCGAACCAGCCTGTCCCACCGAGTATCAAGCAAAGCAACACAGAAAATTGGTAGAAAAACCTGTTTTTTTTTTTTTACATCGATTTTGATTTGCAGAAGTATCTTACAGAATACAGCAACTGTCTAGCATACTGTGAAGTTAGGAGCCGGAGGATGATTTGTCCCATGTCCAGGCTCTTCCCTCCGAATTGTACCCTTTCCTGCCTGCTGAAAACCTAAATTATTACACTGTCTAAAGTTGATTTGTTCAATTTTATTTCTTAATCCTTGCTACAGCATGATTGCCTTAAAACCTGGTACAGTTGAAAGGGCATGTTATTGCATTGTCAGACAAGGACATAGGTTTTAGCCCTGACTCAACCACTAAATGACTGCATCATCTTACGTTTGTTTTTTTTTTTTTTTTTTTTTTTTTGTTGTTGTTGTTGTTTTGAGACAGAGTCTCACTGTGTTGCCCCAGTAGAGTGCCAAGGCATCAGCATAGAGCTGACAGCAACCTCAAACTTCTGGGCTCAAGCAATCCTCCTGCCCTAGCCTCTCGAGTAGCTGGGCACGTGCCACCAAGCCCGGCTAATTTTTTTCCCTATTTTTATTTGTTTGGCTAATTTCTTTTTGTTTATAGTAGAGACAGGGTCTGGCTCTTGCTCAGGCTGGTCTCAAACTCCTGAGCTCAAGCAATCCTCCCGCCTCTGCCTCCCAGAGTGCTAGGATTACAGGCGTGAGCCACCGCGCCAGGCATGCATAATCTTAAATGCACCACTTTTTCATACTGAATCTTGCTACTTTCTCATTTATGAAATATAAGTACTATGTTGTAGGATTTCAAACCTTGAAATTCCAGAGAATATATTACATCTTAATCTATTATAAGTCACTTACGTTTGGTGTATGTGTGAGATTCAGGTTCTTTATTGAGAGAAGTTTTGGCAAGATAAGAATGAGCATTTGCATGTTTGATGTGGACAATGGGGGACATAATTGGGGGACATAAATGGGGGACAAGTGACATAATTGAAAATGGCAATAAGGCATATTTTACAGCATCATTTTGTTGATACTGGTGTCACAATTTATAGAAAAAAAATAATACTTTTAAGTTCAGTTTAATCTAAGTTTGATTGTAAAATCTTACATTTTTACCAAACTGGCTATCTCGTTGTATTCTCTGTTATGCTTGGAGATAGGAGGGAAAGTAATTTATTATCAAGATTTAAATTTGAAATACCATATCATCACTTTATTTTATATCTTGTCTTGTTTTACAAATGTTTCTCCCAGTCCTCCTGTCTAAGGGAACATGCCAAGAAAATTCATATTTCAACCTTTTCCCCCATAGAATTTCTAGATTGTAAGTCTGCCTATGATATTAGGGTTTTTTTTGTTTCTATGCCTCAAAAATTTATAGAACCTTAAAATGATCTACCTCAAGCTAACCCATTAAAAGAATACCTTCTGTAATATTCATAAGAGGTGGTAGCTATTCTATACTGGGTAAAATAAAATTCTTACTATATCATTTCCTCAGGGTTCTGGGAAGAAGGGGTTTGTGATTTTGCCAGGTGATCTATTCTAATTTTGGTTATTTTAAGATTGTTAATTCTTTCCCTCAATAATTTGAAACCTTTAGGTTTGTGCATCCCACATACCAGCAGGGCACAGTTAGAAAGCTGTTTCCTGTCCCCACCATTGTTATCCTGGTATGTGATGTCATTGGTCGTACCCAACTAAACTTTCTTTTCTCTAGACCTACACTGTCCAATATGGTAGCCATCGGCCTATGTGGCTGTGATGGTTAGTGTCATATGTGAACTTAATAAGGTTTTAGTACCTGGTTTTATTCAAACAAACACTAATGTAGGTGATGCTATGAAAGTATTTTGCAGAAGTGGTTAATTTTAAAAGGGAGATTATCCTGAGTAATACATTTGGGCCTCATCTAATCAGTCGAAAGGCTTTAAGAGAAGAACTGAGGTTTCCCCAAAAAGGAAGAGATTCTGCCTGTGGAATGTAGCTTTAGCTCCTGCTCAAGAGTTTCCAACCCAGCCCTTCACAGTGGGATTTGAACTTGGCTAGCCAGCCCTCCATGATCACGATTCCTTATAATAAATATCTCTCAATAGATAAATAGATGTATAGATAGACAAATAGATAGATATAGTTGGATATAGATAGCTATTGTAACAGAGGGAATGGCCTGGAAAAAATGGCAAAAAGATGTTTTCTGTCTCTTTAAAACTCCCCCCACTCTTTTTTGGGGACTAAGGCGTACATCCCTGCCCCAGAGGCAGGTGGTTGGTTGGGACAAGGGAATGTCTTTTGTTCTTCGTGTTACAGGAGATAGCTCAGCTGAACTGTCATCTCCATCCCAGCCCGGGCGCCAGTCTCCCAGATGGGTGGAAGTCATGGCTTTGTCTTTGGCAGAGATGGGATTATTAGCATCTTTAATGACAATAGCCTAGAACTGAGGGCCCTCCCTTTAAATACTCTTTATTTCTGCTTATGTACAGGAACTTGGATTTTGAGACAAGACTCTGCCATTTTTCCTACTTTGCTGGCAAAATAATAAACTTCTCTTTCCTTGTCCCCCAAACCAGTTGTCCTTGTTCTTCTAATACAGCCTTTAGAACAACTGCTGAGCTTTCAGTAACATTTTGCAGATTTCTACATAGCCCACTGGGCTTTTTTCTATTGGAACTCTGAGTGATACAGTGGCTATTTAAATTCTAATTTAAATAAACTAAAGTTAAATAAGATTTAAAAGTCAGTCACAGTGGCCACATTTCAGGAGTTCAGTAGCCACTTGAGACTAGTGGCTACCATACTGGACAGTACAGAAGGTGTGCATTATAGCAGAAAGCTCTAATGAACAGCACCTGTTATATGAACAGGTTCCTCTCACACTCGAGAGGGGATCGCACAAGGTGTGTATGTTGGGGGAGGTAGATTTTGAGGATTTGGGGGCCACAAACAGCAAATTTCTAAATGGAAATTCTTCTCACCGCTATTGATGTTCAGTTATTTCTGACTGAGGAGAGACATGAGCATAGAGCTTTGGGAAGAGTATCACATAGTGGGTAAGCCATAGAACCTCAGTCAGAGAGTTCAACGTTTCTGTATTTGCACGTGTTATCTGGTTGCATATCAGCGCAAACCCCCAAAATGAAAACATCCTATGCATCTTAAGGATGAATATACCTCCAAATAGGTGAAGAACTTCCCACCTGAACTCTGAAATACTAAGAGCTGGGAAAGCACAGAAGTACTTGGGAAGCAAAATATACTCAGACATCTGCAGCTCTGTTTGTAAGACACAATTGTTAACTTTTTGGAAATTTTAAACATAGACATTATTAAACCGTAAATTATATGAACTTACAATTAAATAACATATTAAAGCTAAAGGTAATAAATACCTAAAACTCATTACCTCCTAATTATTTTACTACATTTTATTATTACCTAAGTTGTTGAGTTTATTTATGTCTACTGTATCTCTAGAATGGAAACACTATATAACAGTGGATTACTGTGCATCTCATCCTAACTCTGTGTTTTCAGTAATGACACATTGTTGGCTTTAACTTGGCCATGGAGTATTTCCACCGTGGAAATCAGCAAATGCAATAAATAAGGGGTTGACTTAATAGTGAAGTTGAAAGAGGTTTCAATTTAATTAATATAATTTATACAAGGGTTAGAAATATTTTAACAAGTATAATGACAATAAATGTATCTAGAAAGAACTAGTAGGTTGGGAAGAAACTCTATTTGTCAATTCATAGTTGAATTGAAACTGTAGCTTGGCTTCAAATACAAAATTCTGATACAGGTCAACAAAAGCACACTGTGGGAATCAATGGCTGTATGAGTTATGGCATAAAGAGTATTGTATGCATTTATTATTATGTATAAATTGTTGTTATGCATCCTTTATATCAGTAAAATTGACAAGAAACCTGTGTGCATACATATGCATGTAAAGAGAGATGTAGATGTATGTGTATAAAGAGAGATGTAGATATATTTTCATTCTTGAACACCCTTGGAAATCAGGTTCTTTTAACATTCCCCAGGACACCACTGGGTCTGGGCCAAAATAATAACTCAGTGTGTTTGATAGGAGTACACACTAGATACCAGCCTAGGCATAAAAATAAAAAATATATAAAAAATAATAATTAAAAAAACAAACAAACATGGGATCAGGTCCTGGCTTGGCTACTGGTTTGTGAGATTTGGAAAATCACTTAACTTCTTAGCTTCAGGTTTCTCTTCTGTGCAATGAAGACAGCACTCTCTGATACACTTTCCTGATAGGATTGCTGTGGGGAGCTAATAAAGTAATAGATATAAATGTTCTTTGAAAAATTTACCAGACAGGAAAGCCAAAGTCCTTACTCTCATGGAATGTATATCTCTGTGTATTTAGTGAAGATTCTTGGAGTGTGTGAGCTGGACACCATGTCAGTGGTCACCTGGCCCAAGTCCCTTGCCTTACGAATAATGACAGAAGACCAAAGAATTGAACTGCTGAGTTTGTGTGAGGGTTCGTATGAGGTGCGTATATATATCCAACATGGCATTTTCCATTCTAAGCCTCAGTTATTTCAGGGCCAAGTCAATAACATAGACTAATTAGGCAAAATAGCACATTCTATCATATCACTCACATAAAGCAAGAAATAGTAGCCCACGCACTGCAGGCTGGGTGATTTGTGGAGCTGGCAGAACATTTACTGAATAACTCCATTAACGCATCTTCTTGGAAGTTACAGAGAAGGGTTGAGTTTCTAGGATCCTTGACACACCAAGATTTAATACTTAGATTATAAGAAATAATGTGCACATAAGAGTTATTTGATTCAAGGTAAATATCTCTTCCCAACTCCATTCTGAATATTAAAATCTCTTTCAATATTATGATCCAACACTCATAGTGATTTAGCTTGTCTTATTCAAAAGATTTCTTCTTTCTTTGCCTTTGCCTTGTAAAAGTCTATACTCATTTATAGTTTTGCAAGCAGACATCAATTCTTAGGTGCACAACAATTCAGTGCACTCCTTATAGGGAAGAAGACTCCATCAACTAGCCAATGCACATTGTATGGCTGTTTACCAGGTATGTCCTGAATTTTGCTGTAATCTTTTTAAACACCTAGACTATAAGGCTAATCAATCTAAATGAAAAATAGACACATGGATTTATATCTCAAAGAGGCTGTATTATCTCCTGGTAAGCATTGACTGATGAGCGAATTACATGTGTGCAAATATGAATAAGATAACTGAGGATGTCAAAGAGGTTACTGCTTTTGCATAATCCATGTCAACTGCTGAGCAAAATCCTGAATCCCTTAGTAACTGCTGGGGGCTCCCTTCTACCCCCAAACAACGAGCTCTTCTGCCTCTTATTCTAGTAGGTAAAACTGTCTGTCCATTGTCATAAATTTTCTTAAGATGTTATTGAAAGGTGATTTTCATAAGACATTCCCTGTTTTAAAGAAAGAGTGCTGTACAATTCCCCCCCAACCAAAACAACAACAACAACAACAAAACACATGTAGTGTAATTTTCCATTTATTTTCTCCAGCCTATTTGGAGTTAAGAGTCTAGTCATTGCGTTAACATGCTGGTAGCTGATTGCACTTCAGGTTTTCTACTCTAATGATTTCAGGTAATATAGAGGTAGAAGAGAATATGATTAATGACAGAGAATCATTTCAGCACTTCAGAGTTTATTAATCAAGTGTGTGATACACTGGGACTCTCGCTGGAATGCCAAATTGCAGGTGCCCGTGTGCCATTTCTAAATGAATCTTAACGCATGTAAATCTGCTGTATGGGAAGATGCAATTATAAAATGATGAGAGAATGACTCTGGGCCAGTTTGAAGCCTGCTTATTGGCTGCCAGAGTCTGTTCCTGATTCACTTAGACTTCACTCACCTCTGGGGCACAGGGAAAGAACTATTCCATGTTCCACTTCCTCTAAAGTTTTCTCATTTTGTTTTTGTTTTTGCTTTTCCTCTTTAACCTAAGCCATGAGGGAATGCTGGCACTCAAACCAAACTCAATGCAAAACAAGCAGTGAAAAAAATTGAAAATAAGTCAAGGGGAGATGAATATGATTAAGTAGGTTGCCTTCGTGCTGATAGAACTGTCCTGGTCATACTCATCTCAGTAAGAAAAAGTCATAAATCAGTGACAGCCCCATCATTCATGCCCAAAAGACTCCCTTAAAAAAAAGGCCTTCCCAGGAGATTTTCCCATCACTGTTCCAACCAAACTATATTTAGTTTATTCGATTTTGTGGTGATCAGGGAAGATAAGCTCAAATCCCTTGTTATTTCATGGCCCAGAAAAGCAATTTTGAATTTTTGTGGATTTTCCCAGTTGTGGGGGGTAAAAATATCTTCCTTTGAGAAACCAGAAGTCTTGAAGAGTCTTGCTTCACGCAACCAAGAGTCATCACCAGCTTTACTTTAGGGGAAATCAGGTTAAAGAATGCTCAAACTTCAAGGCCAAATGTAAGATTTCTCTCTAACGCTATCTTCAATCAATATATTTGCCAGGTCAGCTAAATTTTATTTTCTTTCTTGTGTGGGATGGGGGGTATTATAGGCAGTTTCTATGCAAATACTATGCAATAGTATGCAAATATTTATGCCCCCCAAAAGTGTAAAACTAAAAAGTTCTAACCTAAGCCTAAACCTAATAAAATTGTCTCATTAATTCACATCATTTGCAGAACTATGTTATTAATGACAACAGACTTTGATGCCTCAACCATGAATAGTTGTAACATTTAAAAATTAGATGTCACAACAGCATGTTATACCTGTACATATATTTAGTTTCTTTGTTAAGAACTGGTTGTTAAGGAAATGTTTGGCTCTGTAGTTGAGTGGGATGTTTCTGGTCTTGCATCACACACAATGTTAGGGATACTGCAGAGTCTTGGAATATGAGAGTATTAACTGTCAGGTTTTCAATCCCATATGTATGTTGAAAGTGGACGACTTACTAAAGCAAAGGAGAAATCATGGAAATCGACCATTTATTTACAACTTAAAAAGAGTTTGCCTTGATGTAAGTATTCTTTCTCTACAGCAGTTCCATTTCCTGAGAGCCCCAGAAAACCATGTTCTTTTCAAGGTGTTACCAAAGGGCTTTTCCTAAAGATGTCCAAAAAGAGATCTTCTATCTATATAAGTCCTTAAGTAAGAAAAGATCCGAGCTGGTTCTAAAGTATTTACCATCTAGTTTCTATTGAACTTTTAGACACAGCCAAAGTGAAATTGAGCTTTTCCCCCCAGAGTTTTCTCAATCCCCCTTGTAAACAGACCCCTGATGATGCCATAAAACACTGTCTGGGGGATGGGCACAGTTACAACTTTGACTCAAATGGTACAAAAGCAATTTATGTAACTGAAACATTTATACCTCCATAATACTCTATAATAACAAATTAAAATAAAATTATCAATGATCAAAACAAAATTAAGACTTCGTTCTATTAAGAAAAAAATAGTGGCATCCAAAATTTCCATTATGAATTCCTAATTGCAAAAAAAATTTTAAGTGTGTATGTGTGTGTGTGTATGTGTATGTTTGGTTATTTGTAAGTGATGTAAATGCACTGTTGAATATGTACATTAAAAATAAGCTCTAAAAGTAGAATAATAATAGAATGAGATTGTGGTTACCTATAACTAGAAATTTCAGTGTTTCCCTCCTGTTTCACTTTGTTGCAGCAAACCATCGAGCACAGACCTCGGTCAATGATGTGATGCAGGAGGAGATCATGAGCCAGACTGTTTCAGCATAGCTGACAATGTTAGGCAGAGAGCACTGCTACACTGGGGATGGGCCAAGGCTGCTGAAGGAGAGACACTCTTTTCACTCCATGTCAGGTTTGTTAATTTAGGAATCTGACTGTTCTCTCTACGTACTTCATTTCCTGAGTGTACTTTTCTTATTTGACGATCTATTTCTTCATCGTTGTTCCCCCCCCTGCCTAAATATCCGGTGCAGATGTTCAGAGTCCCTTCCCTTGGAAAACTGAGTTGTGCCTCTGTGGCCCTGTGTCATGAGACTTGGGAATTGCATTTCCTTTTGGTGGGTTTAACAATATAGATGTCCTTCTCATTCATACTGCACTCCTGTAGGAAGTGACAGAAAGGAAGTTATGCAACATCTGCCTGGGGTTCCCTGCTGAACATCACAAGCAGCTGTTGTAGCAGATCTGGAAGAACTGCTTCTGGAAAAAAAAAAAAGTGCTGCGAATAGTATTTCTACAGCTCCTTCGAGATTGTGGAGGTAGTTGCTGGAGTCAGTTATTTTATGGCTGAATTATCCACTTTGAGAATTATTTAATCTCTTGATTCCTTTTCTCTCCCATTGCTTCCCTAATGTAATTTACATTTAATTCTTTCACCAGCATGTGGCCAGGGGCTGGGAAATAAAATTCAAATCAGCCGATCTGATTGCTTCACATGACTTGGGCATGTTTATTCTTGGGCTGCCCCTGATGTGTGCAAAGCTGTATGCTAAATTATGTGCTTAATTCATCTGATAAAAATATTAGGTAGAAGTAACCCCCCAAATGTGTGACAACACAGCCTATATTAATAATTGTGCCTGAAAAAAAACAGCCCCTCTCATACATGAGAACTGGGAAAAAAACACTTTAGCAGAAATATAACTTGGTAGGTTCTTCCAAATCAAAATTTCAAAGCTTTAACAGAGATATCAGCTACCTAAGTTAGGGATAAGAGGTAAGAAAACAAAATTGCTCTAAAGAAGAAAATGAGTGCAATGTGGCTTTGTGCTAAAAGGATGAGAGCAAAGATGAGGGAAGAAAAAGAGGCCACAGCAAGATCCAGAGACTAAAGGTCTGGAGATGGCCAAGGGGCTGGTTTTTACCCAAAACACACACACACACACACACACACACCAAACAACAACAAAAACAGACAAACAAACAAAAAACCACAAAAACACCTTTCATTGAATTTACATTGTTGAAAATAAGTCCCTCAATCTGCTAAAATCATCAGGAAAGTTTGATGCAAACAAAACATCACATGTGGATGTATTTTGATGTGGAAATGAGATGAAAGAGTATAAAAGTGCTAAGTTTATATCAGGGAGGGTAAGAAGGAAAGAACAGGCATCAAAGGACATTAAGACAATCATGCAACTAGAATCTAGAGTTCTAAGCCTCTGCCACCAAGCCTCTGCATTTGGGAACCCCGGGGCCATCACTCAATCTCCTTTTTCTGACAGATTATTTTACCCACTTACAGGTTAAATTAGATTTTATGAGGCCAATTAGACCCCAGACAGAAGGGAGATTCACTGCTGAGCAGACACATGGGGCCAGTGGTGACCATGAATGCAGAGGTCCTGATTTTTTTTTTCCAGAATTCTCTGAAAAGATATTAAGCTTCCCAAAAATTCATGGACTAGAGTTTGAGGCAAGCAATACACAACAGGGGTGATAAATCATAGCAGATCATGAAAAGGAACTGAACCCAATAGATTTCTGGGTTACAAATATTTACCAATGCCCATCTGAATCAAGGAAGTGATATTCCAGCTTGTGTCATCTTACACAAGCAACATCAGTAGAACTGATTTCAAGTAAGTGCACTGTGCCAGCATCTATACAAACTGAGGAACTTCCCTATTACAGGAAGCAGAGCCGTGAGAACATTGGAAACCATGTCATCTGAAAAGGCATCACTGGATACCTAGCATCAATAAGAAATGCAGGGGCAACATATGTTACCCTAACAATATTTGTACCCCCATAATATGATAAAATAAAAGGAAAAAAAAAAAGAAATGCAGGAATGGAAAGTTTGCAGACTTCAAATATTTGAAAGTCTATCATGGAAAAGAGGGATTCGTTTCTGTAGGTGCCATGCATGAATTATAGAAATAAAATGAATAAGTACAAGAGATTTCTTTTCAATAAGTGAAAATTTCCTATCAGTGAAAGCTATCCCTAGACGTGAAGAATTGTCCCAAGAAGCAGAGAGATTGTTGTTGATGGTGGGGTATTCAAGTAAAGGTTGAAGAATAAAGAGCTTTGCTTTGGGATTTGTTTGCCACTGGTGTCCTAGTCTGTTTGTCTTGCTGTAAAGGAATCCCTGAGGCTGGGTAATTTATGAAGAAAAGGAATTTACTTGGCTCATGGTTGTGCAGGCTGTGCAAGAAGCATAGAACGAGCATCTGCCTCTGGTGAGGGCTTCAGGAAGCTTCCTCTCATAGCAGAAGGCTAAGGGGAGTGCCGTGTGCAGACCATTTGGCCAGAGAGTAGAAGCAAGAGAGGAGGAAGAGGTGCCAGGCTCCTTTCAACAATCAGTTCTCAGGGGAACTGAGAAGGAGAGCCGGGTTCCTCCACATTTCTGCACTTCCCGGGCTCCCATGCCCGCACGCCATGGAGGCTTCCCGAAGTCAGAGTGGAGGACAATGGAAGGACCACTAGTGGAACTTTGGATCAATCTTCCGATCTTCCTTTTCATGGATCAGCAAGAGACAACCTTCTCTTCCTCTCTACTTTGTTTTGTCTCCTCTGTAGCCCAAGCTCTGGCAGGTCCCTGCTTCTGGGCAGCAAGCACTGATAAGATCTGAATCTATTCATTGAGAATACATTTATTTTTTTTTTTCTACTTCATTCACATAACATCTCTGGCCACTTTCCCCACTGGAGGTGAGACAGGAGGATGTATGAGCGATTCACTTTAAACATCCGGTGTTTTGCTGAACGGTGTTTCAGAATGATGTCACCACACGTTTTCCATGTTTAAGTGTGTTTTAACTTAAATGCTTGAACTTTAGACTTTTTCAAGTGGGTTCCTATGATTTAATCACCTAATATACACAATCATCAGATGAGGTAGGGATTATTTTTTCCCCAATCCACTGACAAAGAATTAGATGCTCAGGAAACTTAAAATATTAATAGCTAAAATATCATGGAATTAGCAAGTAATTACAACAGGGCCAGAGCCTAGAATTCCTGATTTTATCTCTACTATCTGGGCAAAGCAAAACCCATTCTCTAACTTATTTCTTCTTCCTTGGACTACCTCACTCTAATCTAAGCTGCCATACCCACCTTTGGAAAGAAAGAAGAATAAATTCTCCAGTCAGGTGTAGGCTGAATGCTGGAATAAACAACTCAAAGATACATAAATCACAAAGTCTGCTCTTTGGGGTTTATTGGAACAATATTGACGTGGGAAAGGCTCAGATCAGGGAAGACTCACCCTGGGGTTAATTCCTCAAGCCATCTTTCTACTTCAGCATTGGAGGCTGGTAGCATAAATTTTGGAGACTCAACTCTATATACAGACAGTGCATGTGTTCATGTGAAAGAAATAACAGTCTGAGTGGGACACAGCAGATTGAAGCCCAGTGTCACTACTGCAGCATGAAGTTATGCCATCTCCCGATGGCACCTCTGCAATCTCATACCAACTCCACAGAGGAGGACTGTCATTACAGGGTGTCCTGGCAGGCACCCAGAATTGATAGCAACCACAACAGGCATCTGTCTTTTTAGAGAGGTGTCTGGATTCTCTGGGGGAAGCCGGAGCAGTTGGTTAGTGTACAGAAGAAACTGAGAAAAACGGAGAGAATAACATTCGTGAGAACTCTTCAAATTTGAGAAATTCTTCAATTTTTTTCTCTTTTTTTGATCCAGAGTGACACATTTGAACAGACTGAAGCACAATTCAATATTCTGCTGCTAATTCACACCCAGACTCTGAGTTAAGATGTAGGTGCCGGGAGGTAGGTGAGTCTGAATTCATTTCTGCTCTTTTTAATGTCATCTGCCAATGAAGATGACTGTTGACCTCATCTCCACTTCCCTTTTCAGGTACTCACAGGATCAATGTCTGCAAAAACATGTGTGAGCTCGTGGTGGGAAAACAAGCTATTACAAAGAATAGATCATATTAACTCTTGGCTGAAACTTCCTCATGTTTTCCAGAGTTTGTGAAAAATCTTTGAAAAATCCATTTGCACTATCCTGAGATTCCTATAAGCTAGCTCATCTGAGTGACTTGTGTTCTCTGTTTGGTCTCAGCTATGTAGACGGCAGTGTGTTTCTTGGCCCAACCACAAGCATCACAATGGGTGGGGGTTTAATAGTGTGTGCGTGCTGACAACACTTTGATTTTTGAAAGGAATACCTTTCAAGACAAGAAAAAGGTAATGCAATATTTTTTTTACCAAGTGAAAAGTTAATCTCTCCTAAAAAGTTTGTTGGAAAATGAAAGTAGAGTCAAGATGCTTTGGCTCAATGTTTTCCAACGTGTTTCTTGTGTTCCTGAGCTTCCTTGAAAAATCCCATGGGGAATTCCTTAGATGTGAAGAAAGAGGTTAAGAGGCTAGGAACTCTTATCCCATTTAAACAAATAAGTTCTGTTTTTAACCTGTCTATAGATAAGGGGTCCTTTGAAAGATTTCAATGGGCAAGATAGTTCCAAAGCTTAAAAATGTTTGATAAGCACCAATCTGCCTAAATTCCTCAATGACAGATATACATGAAGAAATAAGGGAAACCCAACTCATTTTCTTTGTCTTGATGGCCTCTCTGGTGTAAAACTTTTAGTAGTTCTGTGTTGTCTAATTAATCAGGTTTATGTACCCAACTAAAGCATTAAAGCTCTGCATTAACTTTCCAACTTTATCTAGCACATTCTCTCATCCCATGTTCTAACAAACCTGGATTTCTTGCTACAAGACATGGCTCTCACTTCCCTACTTCTATATCTTTTGTTAATGATGTTTCCTTAGCCTTGAATGGCTCCCAGGCACCTGTCCCCGCCTGTCAACCTCCTGCCCTCTATTTACTCCCAGTCTGTGTGTCACCTTCTACATCACACCTGTCTGGATCTTTCAGCAAACTATGTTCCATCCTCCCACCAAACCTCCCAGCACTTTTGACATTTACCATGGTACTTCATTTTATTAATCTTTTCTTTTATTTGTTCTGTTTTTTTCCCATTCATTTGTAAAGAAAGACTTTAGTCTCTTTGCTGTAGAGTGCCTTGCACATGGTCTATGCTCGGTCAGTTTAGGTTGAAATTAAGAGATGATATCAGCCTCAGTGTGTCATTTGTTGGATTGAATTTGGCTTGTCTTTTTTATTGAGAAAATTTAATATTTCCAGATTTTGTAGTCACCGATCAGTTTTCTTGCTAGCATAAATGTTATTTTTCTGTATTCGTTGGAATTGCAATTCCTCTCATATAGGAACTAGAAATGATCATTATTTATAAATATGTACTCATCTCCTGCTATTCTCAGCCACCCTCACAGCTCTGAAAACACTGGCCTCATTGCCAGTCTGTGAACACAAACACATAACATTTATTTTTGCCTCAGGCCCTTTGCAATTTTCTTCTCTTTGTGGCTTGTTCTTCACCCTCAGTTCAGCCAGATCACTGCTCTTGCAAAGCTGCCTCAAAGAAGCTTTTACTAACCTCTTATTCTTAAAGGGCACTTCATTATTCTCTGTCCCCATTACCCTAGTTTATTTTACATAGCATTATATGCTATCATACTTTTACGTTGATTTATCGGTCTATCTAGCTAGAACTGAAGTTCCACGAAAGTAGGAGCTTAGTCTTGTTCACTAACATAAAACTCCAGCACTGAAATGGTACCTGGCATAAAAGAGAGGCTCAGTAAATATTTATTAAGGAAATGGAGATCTAAAGAAATTAACGCAGGAAGGCCATCAGAAGGGCAGTGTGTGATTTCTCAGAAAGAATACTGGATTGGAGAACAGAAGGTCTGGTTTCTACTCAGTATTCTGCCCCCAACTTAAGAGTGGACCGGGTTAGCCCACCTAATGCTCTAATTTCCACTTTTATGTTTTTCTTTCTTTTTTATTAACAAATTAAGATTAGACTAAAAAGAAAAGTTTTTTTAAAAAAAATCTGACTTTCTTTGATTTTTAAATCAATTGCTAGTCCTTCCAATAGATCCATGGCATCTCCTTGTGCAATGGAGACTTCCAGGCTGCTGGCGTACACTGGGGGAAGTCAGCTTTCAGAAAGGATTGTGACATAGACAAGAAGTGACCAGAATTCACCCTGGAGCTGTTGATATGTGTGCAGCTGCTTAATGAAATGACAGCTCTTGTTTTATAAAGCAGCTAATGGACTTGACAAGAATCACAGTTTTCACGCGAGGACACTAGCAGTCCAAATAATGAGTCTTTAACTCACTCTCCAGGACTGTCATATCCTCGAAATGCATTTGTTAGGAGCTGTATTGGGCCAAATGTTTACTAAATTCAATAATCTCCTCACTGAGTAAGTGCCAGCTTACTTAGTGAAACGCTGAGTACTTAGCGAGCACTAAGCAGAGCCCAGCTTATGATCTTGTTGGATTGTATTCGTTGCACTGATACAGTTAGAAATAGGGCAGTTGTCTCAAGGAAGTGGGAGAGAATGGGGAACTAGAACTAATTACTAATTGGTTGCTTTTCAGGACCGAGATGGGGCAACAATCCTCACTGAGAGGCAAAGCCAATTACAAAATTCACTTAAGTGTAACAAATGAAGGTCCGAAAGACTAAACTATTAATTAAGGGCAAGAACATTAAAATGAGAAAGATGACCATTTAGCCTTAGTCCAATGATGCATGTCTCTCTTGCCACGTAAATTGGCAATAGGATTTGGGATGAAGACCTTGCTAGAACTCTGGAGTACTAACACAAGGCTAGGATGGGAGGCGTGAAGCCAAGCAGTCCCACTTCCAGTGGCTTCTTGACTTCTTGGCTTATTCTAGCATCAGGAATTTCTTACTATGCAAGTTACTCCGGTCCACAGGTCAAGGACTTGGGGAAAAAAGTAGACAACAAGCAAGAACTTTTTACAAAAAAGAAATCAAAACCGAGAGTGGAAACTCTCCATTTTTAGGCTCCCTGGGCATTATTGCCAGGAAAGACCACTTCCAGGTATAATTTCTAAATATAGCTGTCTCTTTTGCCCATCTCTCTTTCCCATGGCTGGCTGTTTTCACTCATGCGCATGTTGTTCTACTGCTCTGTATTTTGTCTTCTTGGCACCCACAGATATCACATGCTCTCTAAGGAGGCCAGAGTTGCATTCTACAGTGTCTTAAGTGCCCTCCCATAACAATTGATCACTCCTTCAATCTTTCCCTACTACATAACCTCACTGTGATCCTATATTCATGCTACCCCATTAGCCTAAGGAGCTGCTCTTTGTAGGTGATGACAAGAGATGAATATGTAGGTATTAGTCCTGCTAATCTGTGAGAGGCTAATACTTTATCTTTCCAGAAAGACACAAAACCTTAATACGAATAACATCAAACACATATTGAACTCTATAACAAGAGGAAAATTTGAAGGCCATTTATTCTAGAAACTTCCTTTTATCAACAATGAGTGTGAAGCCCGAGAACCTGGCTGTTCTGACCATTGTGAGACAGTGTTCTTTCCAGTAACCCGTCCCAGTACTTTCCCAAGACATCATGTTAGACTTTTAGACTTTTACAGCATTGGATTTTTAGACTTCCTGGCAGGTTAGAGGGAAGAATAAGCATTTTGGTATCCCTTAGATCACCACCATGGCCCTCTGTGTACCCATGGGTAAGAACAACTCTATTGCTAGCAGACAGAAGGATAAGACTTGGCACTATTTATATCTCATTGCGGGCATAGTCTTTTATTTTTTATTTTTTTATTTTTTTACATTTTTTTTATTTCGGCATATTATGGGGGTACAGATTTTAAGGTTTCAATAAATGCCCATTTCCCCCCCTCCCCCCACAAGTCTGAGTCTCCATCATGACCATCCTCCAGATGGTGCACATCTCACTCATTATGTATGTATATACCCGCCCCCCTCCCCCCTTCCCCCTGCCCAATACCCTATTACTGTAGTACCTATGTGTCCGCTTAGGTGCTGTTCAGTTAATAACAATATGCTGGTGAGTATATGTGGTTCTTGTTTTTCCATTCTTGGGAAACTTCACTTAATAGTATGGGTTCCAGCTCTAACCAGGAAAATATAAGATGTGCTATGTCACCATTGTTTCTTAGAGCTGAATAGTACTCCATGATATACATATACCACATTTTATTAATCCATTCTTGGATTGATGGGCACTTGGGCTATTTCCACAGCCTTGCAATTACGAATTGTGCTGCTATAAACATTCGAGTGCAGGTGTCTTTTTTGTAGAGTGTCATTGGATCTTTTGGGTAGATGCCCAGCAATGGGATTGCTGGATCAAATGGTAGAATCACTTGTATCGCTTTAAGGTATCTCCATATTGCTTTCCACAGAGGTTGAACTAGTTTGCAGTCCCACCAGCAGTGTAGGAGTGTTCCTCTCTCTCCGCATCCACGCCAGCATCTATTGTTTGGAGACTTTTTGATAAAGGCCATTCTCACTGGGGTTAAGTGATATCTCATTGTGGTTTTGATTTGCATTTCCCTGATTATTAGAGATGTTGAGCATTTTTTCATATGTTTGTTGGCCATTCTTCTGTCTTCTTTAGAAAAATTTCTGTTCAAGTCCTTTGCCCACTTTTTAATGGGGTTATTTGATTTTTTCTTCTTAAGGATGTGACATGCCTCAAGCCACACCACATATCTGGCAGGAAAACAACCTGCTAAAGAGAAGCACGGGTAGGGGCAGTCAGCCAGCCCTGAGTTCATATGTCAGTGTCATCGTTTTCTTAAACAGCCATTTACCCTCCTTTCACCTCAGTCTATTTATAGCGATAATCATACCTACATTTTAGTGATATTGTGAGAATTAAAGATATTATAGTACACATACATGCATGTGTATACATACACATATTTGACAAAGATTCTGGCATGCAGTCGGTAGTCAAAAGGTAAATTAATATTTTTTAAAAATTTTCATCAAAGTGCTAAGAGAACACTTCCTCAGTTTTTGTGAAGAGTAAACTGCCGGAATTGTCACCAGGCTAGAAACACCAGCCTTTTCCTAGTCACCCGTGTCCACCATGACAAAATAATAATAGCTCTGCAAAAAGTTATCAGATTTGGACCTGCTGGAAAATATAACACTTTAAACGGCATTTGCCCCAGACCAGATGCCCTTTCTGGTTCACACATAGACACGCACATACATATTGAATGTTTATTTTTACGTACTGAGATCATGTAAACTGGATAGAAGTACAGCATCTCCCTTCTTGCCAAACACCTGCAAAGGTGACCTGCCTCCAGCCCACCCTCCAGAATGATGCTCTTTCAGAAGCTGCTCCCCTGCCCCTCCCAGCTGCATGGCAGGTGATCATCTGCTGTCAGGCATCATCTGGTAGGTTTCCCAGACACAGGTCGGCAATAGGATGCAGCATTCTCATGAGTGCCAGACTATGTAGTACAGCTATAGGAGAGGCCACACTTTTCTTTGATGTTTGCATCATTTTATTCCCCACCACACAACCCTACAAGGCTATCTGGGTATTAATGATTCTTCCAAAGGACTGGGATCATTTGGGTGAACTGCCACAAAGGAGAAAAATCCAAACGGTGTGCCTACGCCCATGCAACTGATCTGCTGGGATGTTCCCCTTAGGACACTTATCTTGCTCCCCTGCTCATATTCATCTCCCTCTCTGAGATCATCTCTTCTTCTAACCTGCACTGTGCAAATGGATACTCATCTTTTGGGAGCTCTGTCCCTTATCCTGAGGTTGCACAGGTCTGGGCTAGTAAGACAAGGTCATGGACGGGGGAGGTCAGTCTCCGCCAGCTTTGTCTCAGCTGGTCATTGATACCTCAAGCCTTGCCTTGGGAATAGATCAGAGGAGAACTTTGCCCTCCTCTCAAGTGGCACAGCACACTCTGTCCCTGACATGGAAACAGTGAGACTTATCCTGCTCTGTGATCTCTCTGCATAAGTTACAGGCACAGCTATTCATCCTCTTAATTGTCCAATAGAGTAACAGTTAAGTCAAGGGCAAGTGCATGCAAACACAAACACATGCAATTTCCCTGAATAAACAGTAATTATCAGTGACAGTGAAGTCTAAACCCATAAAAGGGAAAAAAATATATATCTTTCTAGCTGCCCCGTATGTTTTAAGATGCCACTCTATACAATGGTGTGACTATTCATACTTTGCATGAATAATTATTTCCTGCTTTCAAATTCTGTCCTTTGGGGACTTTGTATCTTATTTCTCTTCATGGATGCTACAAAGAGCACCTGGTCAAAGGTTTGAGATTATTCCTTGATAGGATTATATATAGTAAGTTATTTGCCATAGACAAGTCAATTTCTATTTTGAAGGGGATAGGAGGGTATGTTCTTTCCAGTTAGTGGAGTATTTAAAGAAGTTAGTTTCCTTCTAAAAAAAAAAAACACCACATGTATTCCCTATTAAATTGAAACTAATTGATCAATACTCATGTGCACATATGGAAGCAAAACTCAATGGAAATCAAGTGGTGGGAGGGAAGAGGACAGGATGGGCCAATTCACACTTAATATATACAATGAACACAATCTGGGTGGTGGACACACTTGTAACTTTGACACAAACTGTACAAAAGCAATTCATGTAACCAAAACATTTGTACCCCTGTAATATTCTGAAATAAAAAAAAAAGAAAACCACAGTTACATGATATTTTTTATTGACAAATAAAAGTCAGATATAATTATGGTGTACAACATGATGTTTTGACATATGGACACCCAATGGAATGGCTAAATTGAGATAATTAACCTATGAATTCCCTCACATACTTATCTTGTGTTTGTATGTGTGTGGTGAGAACCCTTAAAATCTACTCTCTTTGCTAGCTCTTCATATTGACCTTTTCCTACAGTTTCTTCACTAGAAAATTGCCTTTTCCAGATTTAGTTTAAACTCGCCCTGCCACCTAAATAAAAATCTCTTTTCTCTTTAAATGTTATTGATGTAAACAATGGAAGAAGCCAGAGTGGAAAATAAAACAAACAGTCTTTGTTACATAATGGGCCAAGCTTTTAGGCAAAGACTGACAGCAATAAAAGGATTTCCAGGGTTTTTAAAAACTGGTCCCTCAATATCTAGCCTGGTGCTCAAATGCCTTCCAAATCCCCTTTGAGTGCTTTTTAATCTCTATGAAAATGAGGTACCACATCAAGGCATTGTACATCTTCTTCTACCGGTGCATTTGTCTAGCACACAGCACAAGACATTCTAGGTACTGAGTCAGAGCTATTAGAAGACAGGCATCTGAATAAGCAGTGTGGATGATGGGAAAAAAAATTTAACATAATGCTTATATTTTGAACTTGGAGCACGGATGTCTGTAGTTAGCAAGATACATGGTTAGGTAGAGCAAGGAGGAGAATGCTTTCCAATTCACTTGAATATCTATTTCCACAATGCACATAATTGAATTACATATTTGATTAAATCAGAAAATAGAAAAATCTTTGGATAAATGGCACCCTGTGCTGACTACCTTAACATGAGCTCACTTGCTACCTCACTGCCAGCTTTAATATGGCAATTAGTGCCGGCAAAACTCTATTTGCTTATAGACCTAATTAGAGATCAAGAGAGTGGCTCACTTTTGATAATTGCATGGCTGTGGCCCATCTATCAGCCATTGTTAAATTGTTGTTATATTAATGTAAAGCTTATAATCACTGCTGTTCCAAATTGAATGAAATGTTCTTGCCAATTCTCCAATGCAATTAATTTACATAAAAGCCTCTGGAACCAAAATTAAAATGATATACATCTTTGCAAAGGCTTCAGTTAAAACAAAGCTAAGTAATAAGGAGCTCATACATCTTTTTCCCCTTGCATTTTTATGTTTACTGGAGTTAATGGCCAAACAATCATTAAAATGTGCCTAAAACTAATTAAAATTGTTGTGCTCGTACCTCATTTACTATGTACTCTAATTTATTATTCAAGGCATTAATATTTTAAACTCCCTGTTCCAGAGTCCAGGGAGATTCCAGGCAGTGGAACAGGAGGTCAGCAGTTCCTCCTTCCTTCCAAGAATCTGCATATAAATCACATTCATCTCACCGAGGCATTTGATTTTGGCTCAGGAGAAGAGATGGCATAGGTAGATTTGTCTGTCTTGTTCCTTCTGCTCAAACTAACTGAATAAAATAAAACATAGTCACACCGCATCAGAAGATCTGTACAAGGTTGCAAGCAAAGAGTATTATAAGATAGATACCACATTTGTATCAATTCAAAGATAGAGAAACAAAAATTTGGTCTAGGCTGTGTGCTAAACACCTTCTCATTAAGGCTAATGGAGGCAGACTTGCGGGTGTGGCATGAGGGGCTGTTACAGCTTCATCGTAAATATGCAATCGATGTGACCATTTATAACAGAGCCAGGTAAGATTACCCAGTCTGTGTGTCCGGCATTATAAGGCATATTAGCAATGTAATATGTTCTCTGCTCATTTTACATTATTAGGCTAGTTATGTTACTCAATTACCAATACTTACCATTTATTAAGAGACTACTCTGAGGCAGTGTCTCTTACATAATTTATCTAGTTTCATCTATGTACAATACTACAATTATTGCTGCCATCTTAATGTTTGATGAGAAACCAAAGCTCAGAAATATTAAGTAGCCCAAGGTCATTAAGCTCATGTGGATGTTTCTAAAGTCCATGATTTTTCTATTAGACCTTGTTGATTCTTTAATTTTGATTCTTCTGGAGCTGACAGGTTAACTATTTCTTCCTAACACATCTCCTGTATACTTCTCCCTTCTTAGGCTTTGTTTTTCATTGCTTTCTTATTGTCTTGTTATTGTTACATCACCATAACACAGACTTTAAAACTGGCAACTTGCCTAGATCAAACATGACTAGAAATCTTCTTTTTGCTATGAAAATAACCATATTTAACCTTAGCCCATGGAAAGCAGCATATTTGGCAAATCCTTGATTTAACTTGAGCCAAGTTTTACTTCTCAATGGACTGAGAAATACTTCAGACTAACATAAGGTAAAAGAAAATACTGGCTATTTTAGCAAGATGGGGTATGAAATGTGCATTTTTCTTGGAAACTCATTTCTGATTTTTCATCTTTTGACTTTAGTTACTAAGTAACTATGTGAATGTGAACAAATCAATCTTCCTTGAAGCCTATTTTCATCATCTGTAAAAAGAAGATGCTGTACAAAAAGTCCAAAAACGTCTATCTTTGTGGCTCTATTACCTATGATTTTATTTGGAAGAACTTGATCCTAGACCATGATAATAACTTGGAGCTCATCAACTTGAAAAAGGAATCATAAATGAGCTCTGGTATTTGGTTCAAAAGGAAATTTGAAACTGAAAATTTGGGGACTAATGTGGGTCATATAATCCATTTTGTAAAATATCTTTAAGAATAAAATCATTTTATCAAAGAAAAGGTGTCTATGTATGTGTGTATGCACACACGTATGTGTATAGTCCTAGTATATTGGACAGGCACCACAGAAACAAGTGTGGGGCTGGGGCAGTGAAAAGGTTCTAGGAACTGCATATTTTTAATTCCCCCCTCCTTATCTCTAAAACAAGAAATTCTGCAAAATCCCAGGTCTCTGAAGACCACAGTTTAAAAACCACTTCAATAGTTAATTATTCCAATGAGAGAGAGAGTGACAGAGACAGAGAGTGAGAGAGTAGGAGGAGGCAACTGAAGCAGTAGAAATACACAAAGATCCTGGAGGAGCTCTCTGTAGGTTTAAGGTAAAAAAAAAACAAAAGAAATGAAAAGAATGATAAAAAAGGAAATCAAGGAAGCATACAGACAAGCAGCATAATACTGTAAAAACAGAGTCAAACCTAAAGTGCATCAAGACTAAAGACGATATCATCAACTTTATTTGCAGGACTCAGAGTGGATAAGGGGGGGAGGGCTCAGTGCTCTGGGGATGCACACTTTGCTCAAAGGCCACTCCTGTTCAGAGAGGAGCGAGATTATTCCAGCTGTGGCCAGTCTATGACAGGAATCAGAATAAGGCTAAGAACTCCTCTGGTTGAAAAGGTATTGAAAAGTTGCAACAGACAATGTACAATTTTTGAAGAGATGGAAAAGATGCAAGAGATGTGGCCTTGCAGAGATTTAGGAAAAGGATGAAAGATGTTTCAGGCAAAGGAAGAAGCTGACAAACCAAAGAAGGGAAGAAAAAAATCACAGAGCGTGTCTGGAGACATCATGTCTATTCAGAAAATACTGGCTATTTTAGCAAGATGGGGTATGAAATGTGCATTTTTCTTGGAAACTCATTTCTGATTTTTCATCTTTTGACTTTAGTTACTAAGTAACTATGTGAATGTGAACAAATCAATCTTCCTTGAAGCCTATTTTCATCATCTGTAAAAAGAAGATGCTGTACAAAAAGTCCAAAAACGTCTATCTTTGTGGCTCTATTACCTATGATTTTATTTGGAAGAACTTGATCCTAGACCATGATAATAACTTGGAGCTCATCAACTTGAAAAAGGAATCATAAATGAGCTCTGGTATTTGGTTCAAAAGGAAATTTGAAACTGAAAATTTGGGGACTAATGTGGGTCATATAATCCATTTTGTAAAATATCTTTAAGAATAAAATCATTTTATCAAAGAAAAGGTGTCTATGTATGTGTGTATGCACACACGTATGTGTATGAAAGAAAGAAAGAAAGAAAGAAAGAAAGAAAGAAAGAAAGAAAGAAAGAAAGAAAGAAAGAAAGAAAGAAAGAAAGAAAGAAAGAAAACAGGAAGAAAGGAAAAAAGGTAGGTGGGAGAGAAGGTAAAACTTCCCCTTGGCCCTTGGAAGATTTGCTGAAAGATCAACTCACATTAAGGCAGATGAATAAGAGAAAGATGACAAATTTATTTACTGTGCACAAGGGGAGAATCACAGAGTGATTACCTAATATCCCAGTGGGGTCCAAAAGTTTTTATACCCTCATTTTAGGATATGGAATGTAGGTCATTCTGTTGAGAGGCAATAAATGGTTACCAGGGAGGATGAATAGATACTTTTGGAAAATGAATGGATGGGGAGAAACAGGGAGACTTGTAAATGATTCTTTTTGGAAATTAAATTAACTTGGGAGATGGGTATTATTTTTCAAATAGATTGGCCTAGGTCTGGCTGCATTCTTGATCTTCCTTTCCAAAATGGATGTTGAGGTAACAGGGAGGGGAAGGAAAGACAGTTATTTTCCTAGGTGGGTCTGGATCTGAGGCAGATAAAGAAACTTCAAAGATTTGGGGAGAGTGGATGGAAGGGGGTGATGGTCAGTAAAACCTCGAGGCTTTTTCAGTCAATCCAAGATGTTAAAATGCCATATTTTGGGGTAGAAATATGTCTAATTTCTGGAAGGAAGGGAGGGAGGAAGGAAGGAAGGAAGGAAGGACAAGAAAGAAAAAGTAAGTAAGGAAGAAAGAGCAAGCCATCACATGGCCCTAATGTGGAAGCAAACCCTGAATGGGATGGTAATATTGCAGGAACCAGAGCCAAGGCCAGGTTATTTAGGGGCTTAGAGAAGGTAGTAAGCTCATTAACTTTAACTCAGACACAGTGAGGAAGCTATTGGAGGAGTCTGACCGGAAGAGAAGACTGATTTGATTCGTACTTTTAAATGATTAACATATCTACTGTGTTGAAAGAAGATGGCAGGGAGATCAATGGATCCAGCCATGATTTTCCTTTCTTTTGCATTTTTTTTTGTAAGATGAGAAATAAAAGCACGTTTGTTTTGTATGGCGAAGATAATTATCTAGTTAAGTAAGATCAGAAGGAGAAGATAAAATCCATCTTGGAGTTATTAAGTATTAGGCTGACAAAATGCACTGTGAAGATAACGGAGTATTAGGCTGATAAATTTGAAACAACTTTCATAGGCAATGAAGAGACATTAAAGTTAGAATATCGTGTTAGAAATTGAACTTTACAAAGATTAATGCAAGAGTTAGTTGACAGAAGGAAAAAAAAGACCAAAAAACCCAAAAGCAGCATTGTTACAAATTCAGACAAAAGGAAATCACAGCCTGAATTAGGGTCAAAGTAGAAGGCAAGCAGAGAGGGAAGGCGATTGAAATACTGTTACAAAAACAGACTCCAGCAACAAATAATGAGGAGTGAGGAGTCCAAGTGAGGTGTGAACTTTCATTTATGGATGATGAAGAGGAAAAATGGTAGTATTCATTGGAATGGGGAAATCAGGAGGGGCTGGGGAGTGAAGCAGGTTAACTGGTTGAGATTGTCAGGTGTTATGGTGCCTAGAATATTCCAGCTGGCAGTGGAAAATAACCACCGTGTTAAAAAGAATTAACTTAAGAAGACTCTCTGGCTCCTCAGAATTTTTTTAAATCATAAAAGATTAGTAAACTAAATTAAAATAAAATATAACCAGTTCTTTTGGGCTCATTTCCTCTTAATGTGATTTTGAAGGCAAAGAATGATGAGCAAGAGTGTACATTTAGACAAAAAAATCTTTTAATACTTTCTTAGTGAGCAAAGTTCTCATTTAAAAAATAAGGACTTTCTCAAGCTGCATTTTGTCATTTAAGAAGTAAAAAAATAATACGCACTAATTAGAAGCATGGGAGAATTTGTATTTTTGTCATTTCGATTCCAGTAGATATGGTTTGTTTCATGGGGTGTGAGATATGGAGAAATCGTTGTCAAAAATGAAAGAGTGATAAGGAACTATGCCTGAAACCTGGAGAACTCACAGATAATAGATGCAAATAATCACAGATTATAACAATAATCAAATAATAATCAAATAGTCGCGATTATAGCATATTACTCCCAATTGCTTTCACCTCAGCCTTAGTGTCCACACCTGGTCTGTGATTCTCATCTACCCTTAATGCTATCCTTCCCAGACTTTGGTGTCAATTCTAAGTTTTCTGATGTCTGACTTTCCAAAATGTTCCACACGCTTACCCCAACTTTACACTTAGTTCTTCAGTTCTGTCCTCAGCACTGAGCATTTCTCTCCCTCTACCCCAACTGATTATTTTTCACCTAGTCTTTCCCAACCTAGTACTGAAAGCTCATTTCATTGCTCGATTAGATGGTAACTTAGGACATATTTAAACAACTCCAGAAAAGCTTCTAATCCAGGTGTGATCAACCTTGATAGCCATATCGTACAAGAACACATAAGTTATGCCTATCGTGTCCCAAGGATTGGAAGATGCAAAGGAAGAAAAGAAGTAGAAGAGGAAGATGGGAGGGAGAAGAAAAGAAAAGAAAAAAACACGGAAAGAAACAGAAAAAGAGTGAATAAATCTATCCTAGTTCAAACACTTGTCCCATAGAACATAATATCCCAAACGCCAATCCAAGGACTGGTGCCACACCATAATTAATTTTTCAAGTTTTTGTGGCACAAGAAAATGAAGTCCGTGTAATGAATTTTTCATAATTAAAATTTGTTTGACAGCTGCCATTTATTCTGAGAATATATCCTTCCTACTTTTTGTATTAAAATGTTCTATAAAAACTATGAAACTAATAATGCCACTTGCTTATTTTTAATTGCTGGCAAAAT